TCTACTCGTGTTGTTGAATACTTCACAACATGAGGTAACTTCACCTACATTCGAGTTAGTAATTTCTCGCCTACAAAAGAAGTTGATGTAAGTAGGCTAAATGATGAAAACGATCAAGATATTCAGAGACATTCTCAACGAACTTTGTCTATGTTATCCACATATGCAAACAATTCAACCTTGACAAAGATGAGAAAGGAGCAACATGTACAACTACATAATGATTTAATTCAGGCAATTAAGGAGGTTTCTTCCAAGTACAAGACATGGGCAGAATAGGCTGAAGATGAAGAATATCAAAATGATGGTAGTGAAAGAGAAAGCTTACAGGAGATTAGCTCACCAATTTCGGGCAGTAATCTCAACCATAATGCACCTATTTTTGTGCCCAAGAGTAGTGAAAAAATTACAATTATGGTGGATACTTCAATTGATAGCAATCAACACCATAAAGAGTATGGTATAATGACAATCAATAGGTGTAGACAACCATTGATGAATTCATTGAGGCAGCAACCAGATCAAGGTGCATTTGGGACAACAAGAAAGTGCAATTACAAAGAAGAATGAGTCAGGGGTCTTAGCGTCGGGACTTAGTCCAACTAATGCTTATGCTATTGATTTGGGAGAGAAATTTTTTACGAAGATGAAGAAGACAATATAGTTAGACATATGCTTTGATAAAGTAGTTAGGGATGGTGATATCTTACCTAGGTAACAAAGAAGTGGAAGCAACAAAAATAAAAAGAAGACGCATGAAAGAAAACATAGTTGGGATGGTAAAATGACTAGGGAGTTACTTGTTTCAAGGCACCTATCAATGCAACTGGTAAGGCAGAATCATATGACAGTGTCAATAGCATCAAGATCCAATAAATCCAAGAAGAAATGATGAATCATCAATTATTGTTGGATAGCTTTGAAGAAGTAGAAGACAAGAGGAAAATACTACAAGTTACTTCAGACGGACAATCTATCTTTTTAAATTTATACATTTTTAAAAGGAAGTTCAAGTTTGAAAACTCAACTTTCTTCTTGACTTTCATATTTTTGCATTATTTAAGCATCCTCATTTGTAATAGGGAAAATTACGCGAGTTGGCAAACATCACTAGGTTATTAGTCAATTAGGGTATAGTTTAATTTATTTACTGTCAGTAAATATAGTTTCAGTTTTTTTTGTCATTAATAATGGAACCCACCACCTCTTTGTATACCGAACTAAAGAAGCCTTCACCGGCTCTTGTATATGATTTTATACAAAATTAAATTTATCTCTCCTATCCTCATTCCCTATTTTTCTCCAAAAATCACTCTTCCACTTTCAATTTGAAATTTGAATTTCACCTTCTCCCTCCAATCGTGTTTTCACTTTTCGCAGGTACCCGCCAAAATTGTGGGTGAATCTTTTTTTTTCGTTTTTCAACAATTGTATATGTATTATGCTTGTTAGTTTTTTGATAAAATTTTTAAAAAAAATTCCCTCATTACTTATTAGATTATCAGTTTTTCAAAACAAAATGGATTATTCGACTCCATCTAAGAGGACTGCGAAAGGTACGGCATTGCATATCCAAGTTGTTGACAATCCACCTTCGTTTTCAATCGGTTTAACTCAAGATTTTGGAGTCAATGTTGGGTCTATGACAAAATCTATACAAGTTCTAGATGAAAAATCAATTGAAGCATTGAGATCCAAGAAGAAAAATAAAAGGACCCAATTGCACTTCAGAAAGTCATCCACAATGCCAAGGCAAGCGACATTAAAATTGTTGAAGGAGGAAGTAAGAGAAAAGCCAAAGACAGTGATTCAAAGGAGATTGTGTCTGCTTCATCAGATCTGGACAAATCTGAAGAGCATCAAGTATTTGCTTAAAACACAATTGTATCTGAATATTTGTATATTTGGTTAGTTATTTACAAATTTACATAAAGTATATGTATATTTTCTGCTTAAATCATATTTGTATATAAATAACTGTATATTGTATATTTCAAATTCAAATCACATTTTGTATTAGTTATTTGTATATTTTGTTTAGTTATATACAAGATTACTTGAAGTCTATATACAGTTTCTGCCTAAATCACAATTATATATTGATATTTGTATATACTATTAGTTATATACAAATTGCTTGAAGTTTATGTATATAATTATTAATAAAAAAATAAACTCATTTTACACGCATTTGCATATGCTCATATACAAATATAACACATATACAAAGTTACTAATTTGCAAATTGATATATATAATTAAAAACAATGCATTTATATACCATTCATTTCACACAATTCCTATATACATTAAACAATACACAAACCTTACACTATATATACAAATAGATTACACCAAAAATTAACAAATTACAGCACACCCTTTTTGTCGAATCATACACGATTATTGACATACTAATTTTAATATAATTAATTACACATATACATTGTATAAGAATTTTACACGATTACTTACATATATACAGTAAAATTTACAAAGGGATTTTTTTATCAAATTAAAGCACACATTTTTTGTCGAATCATATACACTTCATATAAACAAATCGTGTCATTCAATATTTTGAACAAAAAATTAGAATAGAATTGTTAATATACGATTTATCTAATCTTGTATAAGCAAATAGAAATTTTTATGAACCATTAGAATCAACAAAACAAAAACAAAACGTTTTCAAAATTTCAATTATATGATATACAAATCAGTTGTATACTTTCTTACAATTCAAAACACGAAGTTTCCTTCAAAGAAACCTTACATGGCGTTGAATATACAAAAATAGTGATTAATCCGATGGTTTAGTCGTCTGAGGTTGGTATGGTCTTTCTATCGCTATAGAACTCTTTTTTGGAAAAATATTTGATTTTGGACGTTTAGCTTGAATCATGGGATTATGTAAATTTACTGAACCGTATTTAGCGCTCATGTTTCCATTCATTTAAAAAATAAAATATTGTATAAATTTAAAACAAAAAAAATGTTTTATACAAAATTAAAGCTCCATAGCAAACTAAACCATAGCCATGGAATGTGTAATTATGTAAACTATACCTATGGGGCGTTATTTCAGTAAATTCGTTTGACATATATAAAATTTTCCCTTTGTAATATCATTATAGAGTATATTACAAACTCTATGATGATCAGGAGATATCTACTCATTAGCAATGACATTACATTATAGAGTATATTACAAACTCTATGATGATCAAGAGATATCTACTCATTAGCAATGGCGAGCAACCTTGCCTAGCATGGGAAATAACATTAAAAAAAAACAGGGATCGTCAAGTATACCTAGACCTTCAGCCGGACAACCACCAGTGAAGTGATGAATCGGTTTTTAGGAGTGCTTTTGTTCCGTCACATAAAAGAAATTTCGATTAATTTCAAAACTTTACCTAATTCTCAAATAGCAATCGTAAATGCAGTTGTTTGAATTTCTTATCCCAACAGTGTTTTTCCATGCAACGAATAACAAATTAGCTTGTAATAATACTCCAAATAGCTTTGGAAAAACAAAGAATTAGAGTAAAGTTGAACACCAGATTTTTTCTACTTACAAAAAATTGCACAACTTGGCAGCTTGATCACAAATACTAAAGAAGCTATCAGAGGACAGACTGCACATGCTAACCTTTTAACACATCTTCACATCGATTTTGACATAAAAAAATATGATGAAGTCAATTACAAAATCCTACTTTTCTATAGAAATGCATGTGCTATCTTAAGTTTTTATTCTTTATATAAACCATTTGGTATCCAAAATTTATGGATTAATTTGAATCAAAATCTCTGATTAACGGTAGAAGAATCTCATCACATTCCTAGGTGGTTAATATGTATAAGCATAATTAGAAAAATCTGATCATTTTTAGTCCAAGACCTTAATGTTTGTGGTATTCTCGGGACGTCTTGGAGATAGTGCAAAATATACATTTATCAATTGTCTCGGCAAATATGATCAAGCATGGAAGTATAGTTCCATCTACTAGGACTCTTCAGGAATCAAAATATAAGTAAGCACATTCCCCCTCAACTATCTTTTTTTTATCACCGTGGTGTTCGGACTAGTTTTTGTGCACCTCGACTAATTCCACGGAATATATCACCTCTCACCAACAACAGATTTGCCCTCGACTATTTCCCTAATAACATTTCAAAAGACCTACTCAAATGATATCATGCATGAAGGGACATGGGACAAATGGTTAGGAGATAATCTAAGTGGCAAAGGACACTAACCAAATGGCTTTAGTGCATGGAAGATGATATACAAGTGGCAAAGGGGACCAAAATACTTTTCTTCTAGTATAGATCGTCACTATACATATAAAGTGATACATCATCCCCAGTAGGCTGTAGCATATTACACCAGAAAACTTTGCCAATCATTAGCAATCATTAACTTCTACTTTTCTATAGGTCCTAATTGTTTCTCCTTTTCTCATTTCCTAACTTGGTTTATTCATTTAGTATTTGATTTGTTGTTTTTGCTTTCTACTTCCTCTGAATTCTTTGGAGTCGTTTGATTTGTGTGATAAGAATAATAATTTTAGGTTGGGAATTAGAGGGTACTAGGAATTTTTTTGATAACAAAGAAATTCCTCGTGGGTTAGCTCGCCCAACCCTAATTATGCTCACAAATTCAGAACTTAAGGTTCACCTTTTTATTCTGCTCCCACTTAAATACCATGCTACAGTCAATCACGGTTCAAATTTGTGACCTATACCTAACGTGCAGTACATTTGTTGCATCATTACCACTGAACTAAAGTCCTATTGGCCCTAGAGGGTACTAATGGATCACCTATTATGCAAAAAAGTTATCCACAAACTAAAAAGGCAATTTGCACACAGTAATGATATAGCTGGATTTTTAATAAGAAACATCAAATGTGAAACAATGGAAAGTATTGCTGATTGGGGAAAAGCTGCTTAGAATAAAGATAAAAGATAAATACTGTTCAGAGATAACATTAATGTATGCATATTGGAGAAAAGCTGCTTAGAATAATATATATATACTGTTCAGAGATAACATTATTCAGCTAGAACTCAAATAATTTCTGATCGAATCATTTTTACTATGCCTCAAATATTCTAATTATACAATAAATCAGGGAAGTACATGCATTGCTTACTACGGAGCAGCGGTAACATTTCAAATCTAGACATCAAACAGCAATCAAAGTGGAAATGAAGGCGTTCTTTGTTACTCATATGATTTTGAAGTAGGGGAAGTATTGTTGCAATTGCACTATTCCCATGGTGAACTGTCAATTTCATCATAATTCAATTGATGCATCTTGGAATGCTAAATATACCATTCTCAACGGTTGTAGTCTCGAGCACGCAAATCGTTATCAGCTTTCCCAATTGGGGATATTGGGAGAGCTACATCATTTGTTGCACCAGCTCCCGTCTCCATGCCTATTAGAGGATCAGATTCATCTTCTTTGGTCTGTAATCATTAAAATGGAAATAGAAGTGATGACATTAGCTGTATGACTAGTCAAGTACTGTTTTATACGTCCGACAATGAAATAAAATGGATCTGATGAAACAAAAGTATCATGTTATACCTGAAGTTGTACTGATGCTTCTGAAGCTTTTTTCTGACCTTCACGAGTGCAATAATATGAATAAAGAACCATTCCCATCATAGCAACAAAGATCCCAAGAATGTTCCTCCAGTTGAATGGGTCATGAAGTAAGATATATCCAAAAGCTAATACTAGACAGGTTTTAAGATGGCCAAGGACTTGGTAGGTGACAGGGGATGTCTTTCCAATCACAAGGAATGTGCTAAAGTTAACAGAGACTGAGATCAAGCAGGACATAGCAATGAAAGTCTGCACTTACAAAAATGAATTAGATCTGGAACCATACCCCATCCATTACTATAGGAGCAGTAAGGACATTGTCCAAGATGGGTTTATAATGCTTACCAGCACTTGTGGCGTATATCTGAAGGCAAATACATTTTGCTGAGTCAAAAACTTATCCAGAAACGGACCGGAGACGAACAAAGTCATGGCTTGATAAGGACAAGATTGATACAACAGTTGTGTTGAAGAAACCTTGAACTTCTTTTGGATGGTATTGGTCATCTGAAAGAAGCTAATTAAGAACTAACTTGAAGAAAAGATGTATGGACCATGACGATATATGGATGTGTGTGCATAATATATATAACATAGGTCAAAATCCATAATTATTCAGACAATAATCAACTCACTACAGGAAAAGATCTAGGCATAGATTGGAATCCTACTTTTTGTTTTTGCAGAGGGATTCCCCTGACTTTATATCCACAAAGCACCATCCTTCTTGTTTATATTAGTTACATCCTTGCTTACCATTTAAAAAAATATGTAAAAGAAGGAAATGCAACTCCAAAAGCAGCAGGTATAAAAAGTTCTCATACCAAGGAGTTGCTTGGCTTTATGACATTGAATCGAGATCAAATAAAGCTAAAATAGTATAGGATATGAAGTTTAAGGTCATCAAAAAAGATATAACAAAGCAAGTTATATGTTCAAGGTAGGTTACATAGATAACATAAAGATTTTGCATCTCCATATACTTAGAAGCTAAATATGAAAAGTGATAGCATGAAGATGCATCCATCACTAGTTAGCAGTTAAGCTAAAGACCTCTTATGACCCACAAACTTGCCATATCTGATCCGTATGCAGTTTGAAATATGCAAAAACAGTGCAAACAATGGAAATAAGGAGCCAGCTACTTTAGAAGGATACAATTTGAGCAACACAAGTGGTAAGAACTGCAAGGAGTGACAAGATAGAGCCCAGGAAGTTCAGCTGTAAATCAGTTACAGTTGCAATTCCAACACCCAAAAGAAGGACGCAAAGAGAGAGTTGAATGCTCCGACTGTAATAAAAAAAGGAAATTTCAAGTTAAAGCTCAAATAGAGAAGAAGAATCTTATGAGAACCAAGTCTAGCAAAAAGCTACATAGCAAAGCAAAATCCATTATTGCCAATATAAAAAAATCATCAGTAGATGAAGTACTTGCCCTCAGACCATCTTAAAATAACCAGTTGATTGCTTAGGGAAACATGATTCAGTCTTTACAGGTTTCGCTAAGAATCAGTTTGGTTGCCATGGTCTGATTTAACAGTACTGGATCACTATGAATGGATTGGTCAGTGAATCACTTATCTTGGCAGCTAATGTAACTTTAGGAGTTATCCAGTTCATCTTTTAGTCAAAGTTGCAGTGCAAAGGAAAATTAGCGACTCAAAGAGGAAAATGGCATCAATCAAAACACTGATTAACCCAATACAAATGATAAACTAACCTGAATTTTTTGTTGAGGAAAATTGTCTCTAAAAATACAGTGCATGGTATGATTGCAAGCTTCGTCATCTAACACATTAGTGAGAAAGCTTGGAATTTAGGAAATTCATTATGCAGCCATGTTATCGGAAATAGAGATGAAGGGAAAGAACGTACCTGATAAAAACCAACAGAATTGAAACCAAGGCTAAGGTTTAGCAACCCAATTGAAATTCCATTCAGAATACCAAATCCAACTACAGTTCTTGGATCAAAAGGTTTGTGTTCAAATAGCTTCATCCATAGCGCCACATGGAGGGAGCAAAAAGTGACCAGTAGATGCCAGCTCGTCAAAGTTGTAGCTGCCATAGAACAAAATTAATAGAGTACATTATCATCTCATCTCTATCTTGGAAATTATAACAGCCATTAAGCCAACTTGAAAAATCTAGGTAAAAACAGTAGATCTTGATCCTTAAGTGGTTTGAACATGAATTTGCAACCACAAAGTATTATTCCCTGCAGTTTAATAGTTCAAAACTATCTAAACATAGGTCATACCTTTAACTAAGAATCCAACCACAGATTTATCTAAAGACACTAGTATAGAGGGAAGACTAACTTATTCATCCATCGGTGATTAGTACGGACAGTATCATGTCAGGACAACTTTTTATGTCATCAAAACGAAAAACAAGTAAGGAGGGAGAAAAAACAAAAGCATATCCAGCTTCAACATGCCTCCAAATTCTGCAATAGATATGTTATCAAATTAAGAGGATGATTTAAAAATCTGCTGGAAATGAATCTTAGGCCTAATTTAACCCCAAAAACTAGCTCATGAGAGGAGGATTGTACAAGTGCGTGCATATAACGAAATTCAATAACCACCGACTTGGGACCTTTTCATTCTTCAACAATAGCACAAAATGCAAAATTTAATCACATATTCACATTTTGATTACGTATTCAATATGACAAGCATCTTGTAAAATGCTGATCCATACAATGACAATTAACTTACCAAAACGAAAACCTAAAGAGCTCATAAGCGCTTTATTGCATATCACAATAGATACTGATGAAACAACAGATAGAGACAAAGCTCCAATGGTGCCAAGCTGAAAGCGCTTGTTCTCACTCATCCTTTCGGCTACAGCTCCTTGCTCCGCTAATTTATCTAGATCGAACAACAAACAAATATAAACCTCAACATTCCACAGCAACAATCAAATTAAACAAAAAAATCAGTATGTACAAAATCTCACATCTGAAAGAAATACTTCCCAAAAACCAGCAACAAATTTGATCCAACACCACAAATTCTTCACGCTACCATTTTCAAAATTCCGTATAATTACAGATCCAATCAAGTTAACAAGCCTGTATATGTATATTTTGTATGGATTTGAGAAACTTTTCGACTTCAATTTTAGGGTAAAAGGCTGTGCAGTCAGTTCCAACTTCCAACTACAGTTTGGTGCAAAGCGAGTGTATACAGAGAGTTTGATAATTTTGTATTCTGAAAATGTGAGTAAATTATATGTATGCAAATCTCAGTCAAAATCTGAGAAGGGGGACTCTGATGGAAGGGACGTGCTTGCATCTTCAACAAAAAAATAATTAACTCAATTAGTCTCTTGATATTGAAGGTTAGTACGGATTGGTCCTTAAAGTTTAGTACTGAACATATAGAGTCCACCAAGTTTGGAATTTCTTGTTACTTTTAATTTGGTCCAACGTTTAATGATGTTTATCCAGTTAAGGAAATTAATTATTCCTGGAGTATTATATGTTAGACCAAATATTTTTTATTTATTTGAAAACTAATGTCTGATCATAAATTTTTTAAATAAGAAGTTGTATTTCAAATTGAAAAGACATTCAAAATCTTATTTTTACTTTCACTCTATTTACAATCAAATAACAATTGTAAAAATTTAAAATAAGCACACCTCAATCTTCAACTCTAGCTTTAAATTTTTTAAATATAGTGAAAAAATATTTTTTAATACTATGTTGTAGCTCATATATGGAAATCTAATCTATGACATTATATAGTTATCTATTTTGGTATATTACTTTTTTGGAAAAGATTTAATTGTATGTTTAGGTAAATTAATCAAGTGGGGTGATTTTGATAGTTTTTAAAAATTGAAAGGTACAATCATATTTAGAAAAAGTACATTTAAATTCTAAGCATAATACATAAATATGTCCTTTAAAATTCGACTTCAATTGACATCTATGTTCTACAGCTATGTGTGTGCAAGTAGACATTTTAACATGTATTAAATTGAATAAGTATACACGTACATGTTCGACATTGCATAATACACTCAAGACGCTACATAGGATACAAAATTGTCATAAGGACGTCACATATGACGAATGTGTCTATTTTAAAACTCACAATTGGAGGATATAGATATCAGTTGAAAGTTGAAACTAAATTAAATGTCATATTTATGTATTATGTCAATTCTAAATGTTCTTCATAAAGAGTATGACCAAACATATTTCAATTCCAACTCCAACTTTAACGTTATTTTTTTTAAAAATAAAGTGAATTTTTTTCGTGGTCAAAAGTCCACTTAATACATGAAAAATTGCAAATATGAATCTGGAGTCCCTACAATTCTTTTGTTTCAAATAAAAAAAAATGATGTAATACATAATTAAATCTTAGGTAATATTATTTTAATTAGCAAGGAAAAAAGGTAATTTTTCTTTATTGGTATTGAAATGAATAGTTTGGAATAAGCATATTTTGTTCTTGTTGTAATGCAATGAATGTTATGTTAATTCAGACAGAAATTAAAAGAAAGTTAGAGCATGTTTGACATTATCGTTAAAATCTGTTTATTTTTAAAAGTATTTTCATAAGATAGCTTTTCAAAAAAAGTGCTTTTGAAAAAAAAAAAATTGGCTAATTCATTTGAAAAGTGTTTTGATAAGCAAATTATTTTGACTAATTTTTTAAAAAAAAATGTTTTATAGAGTCAAATTACGAAAAAGGACAAGTATCAATGTACTTCTAATATTAAGATTATTTTATAGAAATAAACTATTTAAATTTCTATTCCAAAAGTTTTAATTAATTTTTTATTTTAATTAAATTAAAATGTACCGCTCAAATTTTCAAACAATATTATACATAGATAAATAAATTAAATATTAATATAACATTAACATTATGATTTAAATATAATTTAAATATCAAGCAAACTAAATTTTAAAACTATTCCACAAGTTAAATCACTACATACGAAAAATAATATTGTTTTCTTAAAAAGCATTCTACATAAATTTTACGGATAAGGATCTGAAAAATATCCCAAATTTGGTCGAATTTGCTGTTGCGATACTAAACTTTCATAAGGACCTATTACCTCCCTAGGCTATTTAATACCGTATTTTTTACACCCTGAACTATTTAATAGTGTATTTTAAAGGTATATATGTGCCCACGTGGATA